ACAGTCTCGGTCACGTCTCGCTGAAGTTTCCTGTTTTGGGCCCAGACCACCTTCGCCCAGAACTCTTTGTCCCTTTCGCCTGGCCGAGCAGTCCCACAGACTCTGTTGTCATCACCAGCACTTTAGCTTTCCAGAGAGGGCTGTGAGCTACTCACCCCCTTACTCTCCGAGTCTGTTCAGGAGGCCAGACCGTCGGTAAGTGGAGGCAGCAGATGGTAGCCGGAGAGTTTGTTCTGTGTTAAGAGGATGTCTTGGCCGGGACGCGACATGTGATAGTGGCAGATGTGCACAGAGAAGAGAAGTCTGGGCTGGACAGATGATAACAGATGTTTGTTGCAGGCTTGAGGACGAAGGACAGTGAGTCACTGCCACGTTTGTCAGAAAGTGTATTTTCTGAAGTTGTACTTGGAGAAAGTCTTGCGGTCATGAGTCGTCTGTAGCGGCTGTTGTCTGACATGTGACTGAAAATGAATTGAACTATGTTGTGTACATACAGTAAGTTTACTTCTATGACAAGGTGTTTTAAACACTTTGTACTGAGGGTAGTATTTTTTTAAATTGTACATTTTGAGACCATTCACTATATATATAATTTTACTCCACTGTAATATACATACATGTATATATATATATATATATATTTATATATAGTTCCAACCACACATGGTTGGAACTACCAACCATGTGTTTGAAAACTTAGTTTTCCTTTATGTTCCTGTGTTTTGATTTGAATTTAAGCCAAAGCAGCATTTGACCCAAATACAAGCAATGTTTGAATTCTGTATATATATGTATATATACATATATATATATTACAGTGGAGTAAATCTGAGAGAACGTTTACTTGCTAACAGCTAACATCTCAACTAAATATGATTGCTACCTGCCATTACTAACAAGGTCTTAGCAGAGCTGGATGTCAGTTCAACAATTACTAAAACATGAAATAATCAAATGTGGTGGTACACACACTCACTACACTCGCATTTATTGATTTGATCATTTTTCTATGCTTGGTGCAACAACGAAAAGGATTCCGTGTTGCAACCCTGGAGCACTTAACATAAAAACAAACAATCTGCTGATGTCAGCGTGTTTTTGTGTGGTGACTCTATGTATTTGTCTAATTTTATTTCTTCTTTTTTAAATTTTTTTTAAACTTATTTTAAACTACGCTGTGTGCTATAGTGTTAAATAAATCTAGGTAATGGTGTCAGAGGTGTGGGGTCTAATTGGCCCATACTACCACTGTTGTTATCACTCATGTGGGTCACACTGATAACTTCCCTCTAGTCGTTTTTTTTTACAACTGTTTTTAGCCAAACAATTATTCATACCATAGAATTATCACATATTGTGAGCCTATATCGAAATCTCCCAGGATGTTTGTTATTGTTCTGTTGCAGGCGTTCATGTTCAGTTTTTATTTAAACACTGGGAACAACAATCCTATTATGCGACTTACAACAACACACGCAAGGCTGGTTCAGATTTGAGTAGGATGAATCACACTGTTATATAATGTGTCTGTTCCTGAGCTGGGAAAAATAAATCAGTGGATTTTCACATAAAAACAAAGTCAGAAAGAAGTTGTTTACTCAAAAATGACAAATTAAAGATAATAATTTTAACTTTTTTTTAGTTATTTAAAATCACAATATTTTGTAAAAGAAATCTTTGATGCTTTGATGAGTGGTAAAATGGCGTCAGCACAGACAAGCAGCAGAATTTTAAGCTCCCTACTTAAATCTGTCATCATCCTAAAGCCTGTGGCTCATTATGTCGTGTTTCAATTGTATGGTGCAGAAAGTCTTCCCCACTGTCTGTGCTTTCAGTTGAGCCAGAGGTAATCGTTTTGACTTGCCCCCACCTTAATGGGGCTATCACAGCAGGGCAGGGTAAGTCACCTCCTCATCACCAGACCAGGGTGTTATATTAAAGCTGGCACCTTCACTGTCACAGTCCACAATGTGAAACGACAGGCACGATGGCTGCTAATGCCCTCTCAATCTGCTTTCTGCTTGGGCTTGCTGGCTAAAGGAGTCAGCAATGTTTTTTCTTCATTTTCTCACCTTTTACCTGTGTAATAACACATGTGATGTCCTTTGGGACTTCAGGATGATTTATAATGAAAACAATATTACTGAATTTTCCTTTATTAATGGTGAACTCATCAACATTTCCGATACTTCGATACTCATAGTATGAAAAAAAGTTTGGAACTAATCAATCAATCAATCAGTACACCAATCAAACAATGATCGATCGATCAATGGTGTTACCAAGTGTGCTCTCAGAATTTTCCATACTTAGGCTAAAAGGCTAAAAAAAAAAAAAAAAAAGGAAAAACCAGAAAACCCACAATAACAGGGATTTGCCGGAAATCCTAGAGCCAGAAACACCAGTGTGGAAAATTCCTTAGTAAACATGTTCAGGAAAAGTTGAACATTATCCATTGGCTACCCTTGTATTCTGGTCTTTGACCACTAGAGGCCGGTAAAATTCAGATGTACACTAAAGGAAATTTACCGCAGAGTGGGTGGAAAAGTACCTGAGCAGCGTTAACCTATCTATACAGTTTGTAAACAAGCGGGTGGTGCAGGACATTCCGTTATATGTTGTTGTGTAGGAGTAACATAAAGAACACGTTGTCATTGTTTTTGGCACGTATTGCAGTAAACAAGCATACCGCAGTAAGATATTATTAAAATTGTTTTTAACAATTCCCATCATCCATCCATTGACTACTTAATCATTTAGAGGGTCACACATTCAAAATGAAATTCCATTCATTCGTGTTTATTTATACCGACACAGGTTTGGTCCGTACAAGGAATACTGTTGTTTTATTTGTAATCGTTTAACAGCTCTATGGTTATAGCTTGATAATTGTGTTTGTGCAAACATGGAGTTTAGTTAGACGTGGTTGTTTTGCTGTTTTGTTGTTGAGACAGAGAAAGAGAGAGAGAGAGAGAGATCTGTGGGTTTCTTGAAGAAGCTGTGGCAGAAGGGAAAGTTCAGAACCCGGGCAGCTGCAATGGCGCGTTCAGATGTTCTTCTAAAGCTCGTTCCTTCGGGATTCACCTGATTGACTAGAAGAAACTGTCCTGTTGCTCCAGTAGTCGGAAAAAGCTGTAACTTGTATCCACCTTTATACTGTCTAAAACAAATTTTGGATTTTTGAGAAATTATTTCACAAGTTAATGTAATAAATGTACATCAAAATATCAATCAAAATAATTGCACGTTAGAAGACTACTGTCCTGTATGTAAATTAATGAGGACAAAAGTTCAGAAATTACATAACAAATCATCAAGTTAATTCCAACCAGAAATGATACTGTATACCCAGAATATCACTTTTCATATATGGGTATGCATACTACAGTAATTATTATTAGTTTGGGTATAGTTAACTTTATGTGTATGGGTATGGGTATAGTTAACTTTATTAGATTAGATTAGATTTGACTTAATGGTCATTATGCATGTCACAGATACCAGGAAAGGACAGTAGATTACAATAAATAGAACTGTTTCAGTTGGACAGTTATGACAAACCAGGACCATATGTTATGTAACGACATACTGTGTCCACAGGGTAATGTATATGAGTACTAGGTATTGCAGTCTATGCAATATGCGAAATTGAAACGTGTAAAGTATACTGCAAAAAGCCTAAAGTGTACACTCAACTGTAATATATAAATGGTCATATATATATATATACACACACACAGTTAAATGTGCAAGACCAATACAATAACAAATGTATTGCAGTCAGTCACTGCCGTTGTTCTATTCTCAGCATTGCATCATATTTTATGGCTTTTGTGTGATGCATTTTATTTTCTACACAAAAGTGTCAAGAAAATGGAAAAACACTGGGGCTGAGGACACTTTATGAAATTATTTAAAAACTTGGCTTCGGTTTAATAACAGAATGTGCACATACATACATGATTTCTCGTGTGAAAAAAATCAAAGATATGTGTAAAGTACAAGTTGTACATGTTGTGGTATGAGATTTTTTTTCCTACGGCACGAAAAGGCGCCATGTAAACCTGAGCCGTCAGCCGACATCTCATTTGCCTAATTTATGCGTACGTCAGCCGACGTCAGAGCGCCAGCCCTACAAATATTGGCCGGTGGCAGAAATAACCACCAGACAATCGCTCCCGCACAGCGAAGCGTAGCAGACTTTATTGACACGGCACTGCAAATAGGTGCTTAGCTTCAAAACGAAAGAAAGAAATACACGGCCGGATTTACAGACCAGGAAACTAAACCGTCCGCAAACGTGGCGTCGAGTGTTATTCAAACGAGTGTGCTACTCAACATGAGCACGGAGATGTTCGCTAAAACACCCATGGAGGTAGCGGTCTACCAGCTGCACAACTTCTCCATCTCTTTCTTCTCCTCGCTGCTCGGAGGAGACGTAGTGTCGGTCAAACTTGACAACAGGTAAATATTGATTTGCGACGCTGTCGTTAAGGTGCAGGGCTCCGTCTCAGATTTGCATGGTTTATCACCAGTCAGATAAAACAGCCAGACTGCTTTTCAGTTCTACTGCAGGCCTCACTGAACACTAGGTTGTTGTTGTTATTGTTGGACTATTGTCATTTAATTGGACTTTTGCGGGTTTTAGTGCACATTATTACCTGCTCACCTCTCTGTGGCCTTTGTGTCTGTTTCACCTTAGTGTGAAAGAAAAGTCTAAGAACAGTTTTCAAAGTATAACATTCATAAAAAAATGTACCAAAGTAAAGTCGAATGACACGCACACACAATCTGAATATTTGTCCTCATCTAGTATCAGGATTATCTCTGCATCGTCTGGACAAACTACTTTCCCTTTCATTTTCGTTGGCATAAAAGCATTGGAAAAAACAATCACAAACCTCATCTCAGTGTTTAGTGTTTTTGTGTCTCTGAGCTGTGACTTCATATCAGTTGTGGTTTTCAACTGTTCATTTATGGCCTGTTTTCTTTTCCTGCAGTGCCTCTGGTGCTAGCGTTGTGGCCATCGATAACAAGATTGAACAGGCAATGGTAAGTTGTAGCACGCACGCATGCACCCACACAACACACACACGCACATGACACATCATCTCCAGACAATGACACAAATATCAAACCCACTGTGTGGTAAAGCCCCAGTCAACAAAGTGACCAAAGACTTAAAGATTGTCTGCAGTCAAAAGTGGTTCAAACACAACTGTTGACCAAATGTGACCCACATACACCACTTTTTTTAAAAATCTATTTTGAAGGTTAAAACACTTTATTGTGCAGCTGCTGCCACTAACACCAGGGAAGTGTCAGTCATGTGACTACAGCACAGATCCTACATTTTTGTTTGGATGTGATTAAAGTTAAAGTAAGTGAAGAGCTGATTGCAATTAAGATTGCAAAAAAAAAATGACATGAGAGGGCTTCGGAGTCAAAACAGTGCAGAGTATGTTGTGTGTAGAATGCAAAGTATAGTTAATGAATCTCCTAGCATGCTAGGAGCTGGCTTTGTGTGATCAGATGCTATTCATGCGCAGCAAAGCATCTTGGTCTTGGTGTTAGCAGCAGAGCAGGTGAGCGAAGTGGAGTAGTTCCACGCTTTAACTTTAAGTTCCAAGTTTAAGGCTGCACTGTGTCCCCATGTCCCACGCTGCTTTAAGATTGCCCCCGTCCCGTTCTATGTTCAATCACCTGTTGCTGGATCACACGTCCCATCGACTCACTCCTCGTCTATATTTGAGTTTGTTGTAAATGCTGTGTGTCCAATCTCATTCATTATTTTCTCTGCTGTTTCACCACAGGATCTTGTGAAGAACCATCTCATGTATGCAGTACGGGAAGAGGTGGAGGTCCTGAAGGAGCAGATCAAAGAATTGGCAGAGAAGAACAACCAGCTGGAGAGGGAGAACTATCTGCTGAAGAATCTGGCCAGTCCAGAACAGCTCGAAAAGTTCCAGTCACGCATCCCCACAGATGTGTTACTGCCTCTAGATAATCAGAGTGCCCGGGTGAGCCTGGAGCAGCACCAGCAGACCTGCAACCACAGCACGGGCTCTGCTGTATAAGTGGCTCTGTCTTGGGGCGGGCAGAGCCACTGTCTCTTTACAGTAATGGACCTCCATTAAATGAATGTGTTGCAAATTTTGCCTCCGAGACCCCTTCGGAAGAACGAAGGTGAAGTGTCGGAGCTGAAAATGATCGATCGGACTCAAAAGAACTGCTGTCGCTGACGAGGCACTAACCGAACTTTAGACGCTCTGACTGCTGAGGTGTCAGGCCTGTCTCTGATTCCATCCGAGTCTTTGTCGTAGTCTCTCTTTGTAGACAAAAGCGCTTAGAACATGAAGCGGGGGCTAAATAGTCACAGACAAGCGCTTGCTTTGAGACAGAGGGAAGGGCGATTCCCTGCCTTGCCAAAACCCTTCCAGCAAAACACCCTTTGCACTTTGGGGGTGAAAAGGTGATGTTTGGGCTGGCCCGACTGGTGCTACGTGCTATAGTGTGGGGGAAGTTTGCTCCAGGACTCACCCGGAGGAGACACACCCGAGGCTTTCCCCCCTGCCCCCAAGTCTCGGCGAGAAGAGCCCCCATCGTACGGATTCATCACGTCTCCAAATGCCAAATTCACGGAGGCTCAGCCGCACATTTTACCAGGACTGTGTTCTCGTAGCTAATGTTTCTTTGTCCGTCACCTGCATTTCTTCATGCATAACCAGAATAATTAACAGAATAGGTGGTTAATGCAGTACAAGCACCTGTCTGAGCCGGTGCACTGCAGTAGACTGACTTAATGCACAATGTAATCATGTAGTGTCTGCTGCTGGGGCTCACTGCTACTGGGGGGACATTTTTTCCGCTACATTTTCCTTTTTGTTTTGTTTTATTCAAACAAATCCAGTTGTAAAATAAGAGTGCTTAACTTTGATGTTAAAAGTTAAAGTTTTTTTTTTAAATACAAATATTCCAGGGCGACATGCACGTCGGCCCACAATTCTTCTTACAGCAAAAGAACGGAGCAGTGAAGTGGGAAGATCTGATATTGATCACAGTGGAGGAGGCGAGAAAAGTAGAACCCAGCGTTTCTGGCTGTGAATGCACTCCTGATTTATTTCCAGCATCTTGGTCTGCTCCTTTTGCTGGTCCATACAACAGTGCCTGTCAGTAATGAGAGGAACATGATGAACTCTGTTGTTGTTTTTCTCACTACTACCAAAGAGTTTGCCTTTTTTTTTTTTCTTGGTCTCCTCAACCAGAAATGTTTCTAAACAAACCAGGACTTTGGACTTTGTGGACTTACTGTGTGTCTTGCAGAGATAACTTGTGTCGTTGCTGTACCGTATCCTGGAACGGTTGTTCACTGGGTTGTTTGGATACAACTGCACATTTGCAATAAACCAGATGTTTAGATAAAACCCTACACTGTTACTTTGTCTTTTGTCCTGTCTCTGCACATAAAGTAAAGTGCAAAGTAAAATAAATCTTCTAGCATGCTAGGAGTTAGCTTTAAATGATCAGATGCTATTTATGTGCAGAAAAAAGCATCTTGGTCTTGTTGTCACCAGCAGTGTGACAAACTCCAACTTTAAAAAAGTAAAAATGAAATGAGTGCATTTTCCTGTATGGAAATATGGTAGGGAAAAAGAATCAAAAATAAATCAAAGCTAATTTCCTGAGTTAAACGGTCAAGGAAGAGTTCCATTGAAGGAAACAATTTCTTTTTTCCTAAAAATTCCATTAAACATGGAATTATTCAGCGGAAATGAACTGTCTGCACCCAAAACAAATCTGCGCCTTTTAATGCACCGTGAAGTCTCTGTCTCTGAGTTAACACTGTGGCTTTGAGGAAACAAAGTCACACAGCGGCATTGAAGTGAATGTGTGTCGATTTAATCTGTGAGCATTGTTTATGTTCACGAGGTCAGTGTTATGGTCCTGGTAGTTAGTTTGAGTCAACAGGAAGGCTGCAGTGGGACACGGGGACTTCAGACTCACTCCATAAAAATATCATTACATCAGTGAAACTACACAGATACAGAAGGACGATCGGTTTTACAAGGCAAGAAATAGGGCAACCACTAATGACAGTGGACTAATAATAATGTCAGTCAGTTGGAATGTAAGAGAGGAAAAATAAAAACAGTTTGTCCTGGGAGGTTTTTTTTCCCCCTGCAGACGCATTGGCAGCCAGTCACTGCAGCCTGTCTGTAACTGGAGATGTTCTGGCGTTCCCTGCTGCAGAGTCCGCGCTCACACCAGACTCTCATTGAGAAGTGAGAACCAGAACCAGAACCACCATCATAGATCAAATAGCTCTAATGTAAACACAGAGACTAAATATTCCCCCTCTTCACTGTCTCTTACATATGAAACTTCTGTGTCCCGCTCTCTCTCTCTCTCTCTCTATCTCTCGCTCTTTCCTGGTGGTTTGTGTCCAAACGTCATGTGGTGAAGGCCCTGATCAATATTTTGACTCGATGGAATGCACGCATTGTGCATCAAATTAGCCGCAGCAGGCCTCTGTTGCACAGGGTATCGAATGAGGAAGACGTGTTTAATGAAGCGAAAGTGGGGGGCACAGGGGAGGGGGCTTTATTTGCTTCTTTGAACAAGTTAATAAGACACAGTCTGTATGCATCGACATGCATGCACACACCTGACTGGTGGAGAGGGTCAGAAACTGCATCACAACAGCACTCAGGCTAACGGCTAATGGTAACAACAGTGGGAAATTGGTTTTTACGCCACTGCAAGAAGAGAAAGCCTAGAGAACTGTTCTACAATTATAATTTGGCAAATTTTGAAAATTCACATGTTAAAGAACGATGGACAAACAAAAACATGGTCTTAGCTTTGACGGTCCTTTTTGTAAACACAAACCTCTAGTTTCCAAACAGATTAAATAGGTGGAATCCTTCCACGTTGGTATATTTCTCAACTTTTGTTTTTCAACATTCCAAACACACAAATAGAGTCTGAGTCAGAACGGATACAAAAACAGGGTCAACGTCATCAGGCCGATGTTGTAAAAAAGGAACAAGCCTGGAAATGATTGTTTTCTTTCTACTTCATCTTCTTCATTTATTCCAGATTAACCATGTCCACATTTGATTTTCCATTCCTGGGTGACAGTGTGTTCTCTGTGTTGGCGTCTCACTTCCTGTGACTCCAACCTGCATGTCTACAATGAATATGTCATGCACTGCACTACTCAGTATTAATGCCACACCGACGCTGATCTCACTCTGGTTAAACACTCACTAATTCAAGACTGTGTTCTCATTTGTTCATTTGTTAATGAGTAAAGGCACGCGTCTATTCCTGGCTTTGGCCCGGACATACTTAGAAAGGCTGAGACATGCAAGGACACCAGTGAGTCAGAGTGTCTGTGATCCATCTTGCATCACATATATCATAAGGTAAAAACAATTAAAAAGTGTGAGAGCAGCTTAAGTCGTGCAATTAAACTTTAAATCTGATCCTATATAAAACCAGTGAGCTGAGAGAAAAAAAAAGAAATGTTTGTGCTGGATTAGTGGGGTTATGCAACCAAAACAGAGGGGAACATCTGCTTCAGATGGAAATTTCGGGGATTGAGCTGAAACACAGCAGCACTGCCTCGATGCGGTTTGGTTTGCATGCAGGGAAATCATTTTTCGGCGCTGTTTGTCATGCAGACGTGTGCGTTGTCTGAGTCTGAGCGCTGTTCTTCTTGACAGTTCTGAAGTTCCACGTTTGCTTCTCTGTAGCGCACCGTCATGTACCATAACCAGAACAAGCTTTTTTAAAACATCATAACTGATCAATAAGCAACGTGTAAGTTCCTTATTTGCTTTCCTGGAGATGAAAAGTGTTTTGTAGCCTCAGGGTTAGAACATATCGAACAAGTCGAGACATTACTTAATTGTTAGCTTCCTGTATCTAAGTTTTATTTTGTAAATGACATCACTGCTGGAAGTGAGCCAAATGCTTTTTGGTTGACACTAATTGTTGAGTGATTAAAAAAAAAAAAAGTTTTACCTGATTGTTTTATTGTGTCAATATATCACACTGTATTTGCTGAGGCTTATATATTGTGTACACATGCTGCTGTTACATGATTACTGTTCATATGACACGTATGACCCTTATCTCACTTCTGTGAAAGCACTGATTTCTTTGAACCTTTGAGCGGACATTTTCTGCGTCTTATTGTCATTGTCTACTTCAATGCTGAAGATAAAAATCTGAACTCTAAGTGTTCAATCTTTTCAGCCTTTCTTTCTGGACGACCACTGTGCAGCATCGCTGAGGTTATTTTGAAGTGTGACACCAATGAACCCCGGCTGGTGATCTGGATTGAGTGTAAAACTGTGTGTTGTTCTGGATGGTGAAAACAGGCCATAAATTGTAAAATGTCTGTGAAATGTGACAGTGAGCTTGACCCTAATTTTAAAAGCTGCCGTGGCTCATCGATTCATTTGAATTTGTTTCTGTCTGTAACTGTCTGGCAGCTTCTTGTGTCAAAGATTAGAGTGTTGTTTTATACAACACCACCATCGTTAGCAACCAAACTTCTTGTGATCTTCTGGAGGCTTCTGACTTATGTCATCACTACTGTGAGAAACATCATCCAGGGTGGTGTCAGCTGTGTTTGTGTGCCCACTGATCAAAGCCATTTTTTCAGAATGTGGCCGACTCGGGACATCTTGTTCACCAGGACAAAAGGTCAGGTCAGCCACTGGTTTCGGATTTACGCTCAGACCCTCACTTCATGGCACCGCTGAACAGCAGGAGACGGCACATAATTCAACACTGTGAATACCCTGCACTCTAACATGTGAGACATTTTGGGTCAAAGGGGAGATGGTTGCATAACCTGCACAAAGGGGAAAAAATAGTCGTCAGGCAGCACTGTCACAAGATTGCCTTGATTGATAAACCCATTACATATACATGTGTATATATATATATCAAAAACAAAGAGTGTCCTAGCCTCGGGATGTTTAGTAAAATAATTAAAGTGTTTGTAGTCTTAACACAGACACACATTTTTTATTATTATTAGAATATTTTTAACTTTATTGATCCCGCATTGGGGACATTTTTCAAAAATCTTTTTGCATAGGTAATGGTTTAGGCTTCTCTGGGAATTAAACCCAAGACCACCTGGCCTCTACTTCTATTATTAAATCACCTAACCCTGTAGCATTCACCTACGCAGATTTCTCTAAATCTCGAAATAATGCAAATTGCTTAATTATTAAATTAATTATTTAATTTATTTTTATTGTTTAATTCAAATAGTTGAATAGAGTCACCTTTAAACACACGAATGCATCAGCCTGTATTTGTAGCCACGACTGTAAAACCCCTGGAGGACATGTTGAAAGAAGACAAAGACACTTACACTTGAACTCACTTGTTTTCCACCATAAATCCAGGCTTTGAGGTTTTTTGCAAGGTTCTCTGAGGGCTTATGCATCTCTACCTCCTCAATAACAGTTCATGCATGTGTGGTGACCTTTGTTTAGCAGCCCGCCCCCGGACCACCGCTGTCTCCCGTGTGCTGTCAGTGGGCTGCATCAGGAAGTTAAAGATGTAAACACGACAGGATACGATCTCCGGAAATCTGTGGCTGTAGATCTGAGTCACTGTACACAGTGATTTAGTTAAATGCCAACATGGCATCAACAGGTTTGGGACGTGTTGAAAAATGTCATCATACAACTTCATAGATCAGGGTTTTAGGGCAAGAAGGAGATCTGAACCACTGCAGGTTTGGGTGGGACCTTTGGGCCTATTTTTTTACAAACCAATACCAAAGTATAATTTGTGTATTTACAGTTAGCCAGTACTGATACCTATACTTGTATACTTGTATATTGGGGCCCAGTAAATATGCAGTGAACTCCAAGGCAGTGAAGGTGACACAGCTCTGTGTGTCTGTGTCTGCTGGGGTCAATCAGTGTCATCACATTCATCTGTATCTTGTCTATTAGTCTCACTCGTATCACCTGGTGCCATGGCTGTATAAACCTCTCTCAGTGCTTCATGGTTCATTTTTCTTTTGATGTTCTGTGTTCAGTGTCTGTGTTAGGTGTTTTTGCTTCTTGACGTTTCTGATTGTTTCTGCCTGGTCCTTGAATCCAGTGAGTAGGTGTGCCTGATCCTGTTCTCCTCAGTGTTATATTTGGGCTGTGCTTTCACAAAGTGTACCAGGTAAAGACACAGGTGCAAACCAACCCAAGAAACATTGGCATGCAGACCTGCGGAGCCTTGGCTCTAACCCGACCAACCTTTGAGGTTTAAGGACAACCTTTTTATCCCCTTTTAATCTAAGAAAAGAGGATTAGTGTTATAGCTCTCAGGATGTGAATGTGAGCACAAGCGCTCCATTGTCTGTGGATGCAGCCTGTTACTGTGGGCCTTTTCT